AAAGGAAAAATTGAAATCGCATCATATGACCCCTTTAAATAGATTAAATCTAAATGGGATAGTTTACCCAGAATTCTGTCTTTTGCTGATCCTCCTTATCCTTGTGTCATTGCAAACCTGAATGACTTGAAACATGAAGATATTTTGAAGAATGTTTGTAACCTAACAGCTTTGATTTCTAAATCAGACAAAGACCACTGAGACATTAATCAAAATACCTTATTTTTTTGTTGTTCTGCAGAGTCAAGTCAGTCATATAGTTTTAGGAACTGTTATAGTTTTAGTTTTGGAATCACATGAGAATGAGTAAATGATCACAGAATTTTCATTGTTCGGTGAACTGTCCTTTTAAGTTCCCCTTCAGTATGAAGAGTGAAAATCTCATGTGTTGTTGTTTTTGCCTAGTTATTGATTAGATTTTTTTTTTTGATATTTGAAAGACAACTTTTATAGTACTATATAGCTGTCATTTTATGTCATTAAAAAATATAAAAATTGCATGACTAAATAATACAATTTCAATGTTCTGGTCAATTTTAAGCCATTATGTCTACAATTAAAAATATGCATTAAATTTCTACAATTAATTAAGGTTAGAACAATAGCAGTGATATTTTTTTAATTCATTGATTACTGTATGCAGTAATGTTTTAAACAGGGCTCAGGACTGTCTCTGGAGTACCAGGTGAAGAGAGGAGCATCAGAGCGGGCTGTGACCCAGAGTATCCTCTCAGTCATTGGGAAATGTGTAGACCAGTTCGGCCCTGGATGTGTGGGCGTCCAGAACATTCTCCAGGCTCGATGTCCTCTTGTCCGCTTTGCTCACCAACCCTCTGGCTTTCAGTGTGATCTCACTGCCAATAACAGGTAATGTCTGCTGAATGATGTGTCACATAATTAGCCATACTCAAACTGCATCTTGAAATAAGACTTCAGAAGCTGAAAAGGAAAGTAATAATTAATCTCTGTAAGTCCCATACAAAGACTTTTAAAGTGTTGTTTTGTGGGCGTTAAGGGCTGCCAGCTTATTTTCTCACTCCCATTTACACTTCCCCAAAACAAAGGTCACTCTTATGCTTCCTTTTTAGATTGTGACGCACCAGTAATGCACAGACCCCTCATGGGGCAAGCTGTGGGTTAAAGAGGGGCACTGAATGTGCATAATGAGAAACACAGACCTTTATTTGCCCTTGATGGCTATATGGTGGAGGATGTAGGAACACAGGAGTAAAAAGACTGGGGAACATGAAATGCATTTATTTAATATTATTAAAAGTTAGTTGATTGTTTTTTTCTGAGGGACAGGATAATAATTAGCATTTGCTAATAACATGCATTTATACATGAATAATAGCAAAATATTTAGTTTGTATTTTTTTAGTTTTCTAGTCTGTGATTGTTTCTTATTTACTCACTTATTTAGATATTTGTATACTTATTTGAATTGCTTATTTTGATATGACTTAATAGTTTAAATATGATAGGAAAGTAATATAAAAAAATGTGCGGTGCACTCCTAGTGGCACCAGATAGAACAGGTTTTCCAAATATTCTTCAATATTTTAATCAAACAGATAGTCCAGTCCTAAACCCATGTTTTGTTTTATTTGTGACCCTGGACCACAAAACCAGTCTTAAGTGTAAATTTGGCCGAGATACAACTATTTGAAAATCTGAAACCTGAGGGTGCAAAAAAATCAAAATACTGAGAAAATCGCCTTTAAAGTTGTCCAAATGAAGTTCTTAGCAATGCATATTACTAGTCAAAAATGAAGTTTTGAAATATTTACGTTGGGAAATTTACAAAATATCTTCATGGAACATGATCTTTACTTAATATCCTAATGATTTTTGGCATAAAAGAAAAATCTATAATTTTGACCCATACAGTGTATTTTTGGTTATTGCTACAAATATAGCCCAGCGACTTAAGACTGGTTTTGTGGTCCAGGGTCACATTTAACGTTCTCATGTGTGCAGGGTGGCAATGAAGAGTTCAGAACTGCTGTTTCTCTACGGCCAGCTGGACCCTCGTGTTCGGCATCTGGTGTTCAGTGTGCGGTGCTGGGCTCGGGCTCATAGCATCACAAGCAGTATTCCAGGAGCATGGATCACCAACTTCTCTTTAACGGTCATGGTAGTGTTCTTTCTACAGCAGAGGAATCCTCCCATACTGCCCACACTGGACCAACTGAAGGAGCTGGCAGGTATACACAGTTGTACTTTTACAGCCATGCTTCTCTGCAGTTTCTTGTCAATTGTACTATACTGCCATACAAATGCAAAAGACAGTAACTACACATTTGGTTAAAACAGATATGACTGAAATAGGTTATCTTATTATGTTCTGTCCTGTTACAGATGAGTTTGCCTCAGGTATGCTCAGATTCAGAGAAAGAGTGCGAAAATTAATATTGGGGGAAAAAAAAAAACTAGATTAAAATATCAATAAGCCATTTTTTCCTCAGCTGCAGTGTTGTTTGTACCTTTCTAAAGGTCAGTGGGGAAAGCTGTGGTGCCCCTTACTCTAGAACAGTGGTTCTCAACCCTGGTCCTGGAGGCACCCCAACACTTCACGTTTTGCATGTCTCCTTAATCAAACACACCTGATTCAGGTCATCAGCTCATTAGTAGAGACTCTAAGACAGGGGTGTCCAAACTCGGTCCTGGAGGGCCGGTGTCCTGAAGAGTTTAGCTCCAACCCCAATTAAACACAGCTGAACCAGATAATCAAGCTCTTACTAGGCATACTAGAAACTTAAAGGCAGGTGTGTTGAGGCAAGTTGGAGCTAAACTCTGCAGGACACCGGCCCTCCAGGACCGAGTTTGGGCAGCCCTGCTCCAAGACCTGAAATTGGTGTGTCAGAGAAAGGAGACATGCAAAATGTGCAGTGTTGGGGTGCCTCCAGGACCAGGGTTGGGAACCACTGCTCTAGAAAACTATACCTTTTTTCATGTGACCATACAATTTAAGTTGATACATTAAATTAATCAAAAGTGACAGTAAATATTTTTACATTGTTACAAATGATTTCTATTTCAAATAAATGCTGTTCTTTCTAACTTTTTATTAATCCTGAAAAATATGTATTAAGGTTTCCACAAAAAAGAAAAACAAATTTAAGCTTCACAACCATTTTCAAGAGTGATAATAATAAATGTTTCTTGTTATATAAGAATGATTTCTGAACGATCATGTGACACTAAAGACTGGAGTAATGGCTGCTGAAAATTCAGCGTTGCCTTCATGTAAATAAATTACATTCTAAAATATATTAAAATAGGAACCATTGATTTTCAATCATAATATTTCACAATATTAGTGTTTTTGCTGTTTTTGATCAAATAAATGCAACCTTGGTAAGCATAAGAGCTTACTTTCAAACACATTAAAACATCTTACAGAACCCAAACTTTAGAGTAACAGTATATATTTAGAATGAGCCCATCATATACATATACATACATTCTAGATGGCTTGGATTATTTGCTTTGAACTAACATTTGATTTTACAAGTCAAATTGCCCTTTTATAAAACCTTGTAAATTATTTTCCATAGCCTCATAATTCATAGCTATGAGTTAAAAATGAAGCATTTTCTCAAAATGGCAGCTGTTGGGTAAAGTGTGTCAGATGTTTGGGAGTGCATCAGTGGCTCAGCTAATAGTGATTAGTATTCAGAAAATACGACTACACAATTCCTGTTTCAAATTTTTAAACTACAATCAGATATATAGGGGGCTTCTTCGGGGGTGGAGAGTGTCGAGATGAGCACAGATGAGGAACAATAGACTCAACTGAGTTTGAATAAATAAAGTTCATGAAGCTCTGTGTGTCAGACTTGATGTCGACCTTATGCTGCTTCCGCTACTGTTATTAACACTCTGCATAATACATTTAAAGAGAAACAGCAGCTCATGTATGATGCTAAAATAATAGAGCATCATAAATTATATGATCTGCATGATACGTGAGTCAATGACAAATAAAGGAAAGGAAAAAGAATCTTTTCAAATTTAAAATACAAGTTTTATTGTGTCTTATTTGTCACTGATATATATATATATATATATATATATATATATATCCTGTATGTAAAATACATTAGACACTGCTGTCTCATCGTCTGTAAAGTATAGTAGCTCAGGATACATCACACTATATGACTCTCCTCTGAGCTGACTGTCTAAACACACAATAATCGTTTTCTTTTTTTGGCCTGCCACTATATGGAGGCCGCTCAAATTATATTTAAGCTTTGTGTGTGTGCACTTTCCAGGACCATCGGATAAGTGCGTCATTGAGGGTAATGACTGCACTATTGTCAGTGACCTTAGCAAGATTACACTGCAGCAGAACACAGGCACATTAGGTGAGTGGAGCACATGGATTGTTTTCATAATTTACACAAACTTAATCAAAGGTTTTACTTTTTCACCTGTGTTCTGATGGCTCATTTCTGTGATGCTTTTGTAATGCATTCAATTTTTATTGAGCGTTAATGACACTGCTGTTTATTTTTCTGTTTAAATGTTTTCATCCACAGAGAAACTGTTGCAGGAATTCTTTGAGTTTTATGGCAATTTTCCTTTCAACAAGGCATCGATCAATATCAGGAAGGTGAGTCATCCACCGAGGACATGAGCATCCATGCGCAATCTCCCAGAGGACACTGCTGACGTCTTAGCAGACCCTCCACAAACGCCCACCAGAGGGCAGTGTATATATATTCAATTCAAAGAAAGTGTCTGTCTGCAGTGGACACAGATATGCAGTTGCAATCAAATCTATTCAACTCCCTTGACCTGTAAGGCGTTCTGCTGCCGCAAACAAAGGTTTAGGAAAACAATTCAACCAAAGCATCAATAAAGTATTTTAGAAAGTTTATTAATACACATTTGAGTGATTCTGAGATTTATGAAGTTGATGAAAAATGGAGAAAAAAAAAATCGAATTGGCACAACATATTCATGTACAAAATTATTTAACCCTCAAATTTTGTAGAGAATCTTTTATTCTTTATCATGTCCAATAAGCGTTACCTCTAAGTGATTACAGGTGTCTGCTTACAGCAGCTCTCTACTGGAATCTTAGCCCATACCTCATGTGCAAAATGTTCCAGAAATCACTGATAATCTTTGGTTTTCATGTCACCACTGCTTTCTTCAAATTCCACCAAATATTTAAATGAGATTTAAATTTGAACACTGAACAGATCACTCAAGAACATTTCACAGCCAATCCCTTCATATTATTAAAGTCTCTGGGGGTTGAATATTTTTGATTGCAGTGATTGGGGTCTATATGTCTGAGACCACTAGTGAAAATGCTTTTATTTTGTGTGTTTCCAATTTAATACTTTTTGTTGTTGTTGTTTTTGTACATTAAATTATCAGTATAACAAATTGATTGAAAATGCTGATGCAATTGATGTGTTAATACTGTGCCTTTAATTGTCTAAAGGCTTAAATATCCTGCTTTATATCTCTTTCACCAGGGAAAGGAGCAGACCAAACCGGAAACGACAGCTTTGTATATCCAGAATCCATTTGAAACCACTCTAAACATTAGCAAGAATGTTAATGCAACACAGCTAGAACGTTTCGTGGCACTTTGTCGTGAAAGTGCTTGGCTTCTCCAGCAGAAGGAAATTCTTAACCAAAGTTCGGACTCGCCGTGGGGGTTCACCGCACTTCTCCTCCCTTCAGTCACCTCAGGAGCAGGGGTGAAAAGTCGCAGGAAGAGAAAACTGGAACCAGCTAGCTCAAGAATAAAGAACCTGTTAGACTCTCTGAAGATTAAAGGTGGTGAAACCGTAGCAAAGAAAGGAAGTGCAAACTCTAGTAGGTGATATGGTGAATAAACTTCACTCACCCCGAAGAGCACAGGAAAAGTCTTCTGAAGAAAGAATTTAAATGACCAACATGTCCAAAGAGTGGAACAAACGTGAAGTTTATGTATTTCTACAGTCAGAATCTGTAAGTCTTTTAAGAAATGTTTAAAAACTAAGCTCAGTTTCCGTTCTACTCAAGTATTTCACATGAAAGAGAAACTTTGTAGATTCCAACATGATATAACATAGGAAGAAGAGGTCCATTGCGGTCTTTGACTCCTAGAAAAATGGAGTATAATGGTTGATCTGATGACAACAATCATTACGGTTTCCAGAGAAGTGGATCAGAACTTCTGAACACTAAACAGCTTGCATGGAACAGTTGTGATTATGTTAGATCACACACAAACTCCATCTTCTCTGAGTTGCCATATCAATAGTATTGATTCAATACAATGGCCTAATGACTCTATGTAAAAGCAAAGGTCATGTCATGTTTTTACATCAGTATCATGGTGTTGTGAGAAGTGCAAAAAGAATAAACAGTCACCGTAAACTAAATGTTTTATAAGATATTAAAACTGATATTAAACTGATATTAAAGATATAAAAAATTACTGTTTGTTTCTTCTTGGGCTTGTTTATTTCTCATTTTTCCCATACTCTTTAAAAATAAGTGTCTGAATGTTTCATAAACTACAGAAGCCTGTTTCTGTCACAGAGTGAACAAATTAGTTTTATTTCTCAATATTTATATATCAGAATTGTGACTTAATTTCTCATAATTGGGACTTAATCTCGTAAATGTGACTTTCTCACAATTGCAACTTTAAATCTCACAATAATAACTTTATTTCTCCTGATTGGAACATCATTTTCTTGCAATTGTGACTAAATCTCACAGTGAGACTTGACCTAACATGACCTAAAATCTCTTGTTTCACACGATTGCAACTTTATTTCTTGTAATTCTGACTTTATATCAGACAATTGTGACTTCATTTCATTTTGGCTCACAATGAGACTTGATATCTTGCGACGTTACCTTTTATCTTACAATTACGACTTCTCGTCATTGAGACTATATCTCAATATAAGGATGGCTTTCATAATAAACTGGAAGGTAAGTGTGAGAAGATGGATGGAACAAGACATGGGAAAGGTGGAGAACTACAGCACTTTGGTGGGGATGGCAGGAAACAGATAGTGAGCTGATGGAAAAAAGTTGTAGAGTGTTGGCAAATGTAGAGGAAATTAGTGTTTTGAGGGCGATTAGTAGCAAGGGAAGAAAACTATAGTGGTAGAAGATGAAAGAGTGTAACATCTGGGAGTGCTAGTTAGTTGTTTTAATGTTCATGACATTTTTACCACTCAACTTGATGAGGTTAGAGGTCAAAGAGTATAGTGTAAACCATTTCTCTTAACCTTACCCCTTCCACTGAGAGCCAGAGAACTACAATTTTGTCACCTTTAAACCATCTGAGCTGAATTTGAACTTCAGTGGCTGTATGAGAACTTAAGGAAGGTCATGGGCTCCTTAAGACAGACAAAGGATGGAGTAATAGAGTAATAAGTACTCAAAATCCTTATGCACTTACACAGGTGAAATCCCACCCAGAGCTGCTTAGTTGTGGATTTATCCGAACAGCTGAAAGACATTTGGACTTTATGAGCTTATATCTGCATGGCATCAAACTGTTCACAATAGATTATCAGCTCAGTCATCTCTCTTTATACCTCATAAGGGTTCTTACAGTCACCGTATACACAGTGATGGCTTAGGACTTGCAGAGCTGTGAATGCTGTCTTTGTGCCCCCTAAAAGGTACGTTTTTTTATTGTTTGTATATGTCTGTTAATACAACAAAGTAAATTGTGGATGTTAAAATGCATGATCCTTCAGAAATCAGTCTAATATGCTGACTTGATGTTCAAGATGAAATTCTAATGTAAAAGTCAATCGACACTCATGATGAATTGAATGCATCCTTGCTGAATAAAAGTATTAATTTCTTTCATAACAAAACATAAAAGATCTTATTGGCTCTAAACTTGTGTGTGTGTGTGTGTGTGTGTGTGTGTGTGTGTGTGTTATAACCAGGTCTATTAATTTTATAATTTGAATTATAACCACATATAAACCATTATTTTGCTTTGGCATGTGTTTGTTCGGCCTCTGAGTCAGCAGAGGGGTTGAGGCTTCCGCTGAGTGTAAGACTCGTCAGGTTATGCTACAATTTTTTTTTCTTCACCCTGCTGCCAAACTAAACAAACCCCTTCAAATATGATGATTGGTATGCCCTGTTTTAGTCATATTCTCCAACAGTTCTCGTACTACCCATAGAGTGTTTGCTTTTGAGTATGTACAAAATATATACTTTCTTTCTTTCTCTCATTCCTTCTGCTTATTCTTGACTGTAGGTTATTCTCCTGAGCCTGAAAGAATTTTGGAAAGGTGGCTTGAGGGTTTGAAAAACACAAGGGGGATTTGCAGGAAAAACAACATGAAATGAAAATGGTCTTGGCTTTGCAAAACCTGTGCTATTTACAACATCTTTTTTCAACATCAGGATTTTGCTGGTTAGGTGCAATTTACCATTTTAAAGCCTTGGGTGTTTATAAAATGCTCCAGATATTATTTTACACCTCTACAGGCAGTGATTAGTGTGGCATCTTTGACACTTTTATGATACTTTAATATGTCCACAGCTGATATGTATCAATTATTTGTGTGACTATAATCACATGATCTCAATCTCTCATGTAATATCATTCACACCCAGGCGTGATCTAACTTCCTTTTCCTTTTCCAAGTCCATTGTCCACAGAGTGTGCTATAGTCCTGTCTCCAACTTGTGCCAATCATTTGCCATGTAGTACCAAAACACATCGAGTTTCCTTCCCTCTGTCCTCTCTCAATCTTTCCCTGTCAGTGAAGGGTCACTGTCTCCAGATCTGTTCTTTGCCTTTCCACCTCCTGCTGTTTATTTTTCCCAAAGCACCTTGTGGATCAAGAGAATCTGAGAAAGCTGCCACAGTTCTTGCACTGCACTGCACCAGCCAATAGCATTAGCTCAGTAAACTGGTGGAAAGTCCTGGCCTGTTGTTGTTGCTTTTAGCGAGCTCAAGCGTGCGCATACACACACACACACACACACACACACACACACACACTAAAGTTCAATTATCAGAATGGGCCTCTGTGTGCACCCACAATTCCCATTGTTTTAGTTCTTTACCTCAGCAAGGCTTAATTGAGCCTGGCACCAAAAGTCGACCTCAGTGGAACGAGAGAGCTATGCCGGTCGATGGCATTTCTCTCTTTCTCTCTTGTCTGCTGTTCTGGTGCTGAGGGCCTGGCTGCAATACAGGCAGTACTAACACAATATGAGTGTCTGGAAAGGCCTCCATTTAAGAGGCCTGTCTCTGTTTAAAACTTTAGTCAGTTTACAGTTACTAATGATGGGTGAAAACAGCTTACTGGACCTTGCGTTTAGGTCTTGCTTGCCAGCTTTAAAAGGGTTTCTTCGTATATTAGCATTGTTCATACTTATTCTCACCAAGGTTGCATTTATTTTTAATATTGTGAAATATTACTACAATTCAAAATAAATGTTTTCTATTTTAATATATTTTAGAATGTAATTTATTCATGTGAGGGCAAAGCAAAGTTTTAAGAAGCCATTAATCCAGTTGTCAGTGTCACATGAAATGTCTTGAAAATTGTCTTCTGAAATCATTTTAATATGAAGATTTGGTGCTCAAGAAACATTCATGTTTCACAGTTGAAAATGGTTGTGCTGGAAACCTTGATATTTGTTTATCATATATTATATTATATTATTACAGTTTTTAGAGGGGTTTTATTTTTGTTGTATGTCACTTTCTATGGTCTCTCATATCTTTGTTTTATCTACTAGACCTACATCAGTTTATGTTCTGGAGGAAGCGATGTATCTAAAGCTACCTGTTGGTTAGCTTGTAGTTCATTGTTGAGTTTAATGTAATTCTTGTTTTCCTAGTGTCAACTACTCAAGCTTTTGGCTTTCATACTCAGAGAGTTTGCATATGTGACATTTATGTGCCTCCTGCACGATGAAAAAAAACTTTGCTTTGAGAATCCCATATGCACGTCATTTATTTTTCTCATGCTTTTCACAAGTGCTGTGATGGTTTTTTATTTATTTTTTTGTTTTTGATGCACTTACTGAAAATAAACAACTAAACCGTCAATTTATTAAGGTCAGGATTTCTCCCGTCACCAGAGTTGGCCTTTTTCTCCATGGCTGTACGCAGCTGCAACTGGCATGATTGTATTTGTGGCCACTTGTTGAGAGGTTTCTTGATGATAGAAAAGGAGAAATCGGAAAATGGAAGAAGTTTTATTATTCAGCCCTGAAACCATTTGTTTTTAGTCACTTGTGAGTTTTTCTCACTGTATGTGTGTCTAATTACACCATGAAAACTAGAACCATGTGCATGAAATTGATTACATGGACATTTGATTGCAATCGGTTTGTGTAAATTAGAATAGAACTTTATTCCCTCTCCCTTCTCTTTCCCAAACACTCTGGAGCATCAGTATGAGCTTTTCCATGAATATTGGGTTCCATCAGTGGTGGTGAATCCATATGTAATGACATCCATTCCTGGAACCATCAACTGTATGATCTGTCTCTGCTAAAACTATTAGAGAGAAGCAGCAGCTCTCCTATTTCATTACTGAAAAACACAACAGTGGGATCCTATTCCACTTTTCATCTTTCAGACATCTTCACTCCTCCCACTCTTCTCTTTCTACAATTCCTCTTTAGGTGTGTGAGTTTATGTGGGAAGTCGTTTGTGTCTAGCAAGAGATTATCTGCCTTAAAATAATTTTAATGCATTAATAGGAGCATAGTTGACAGTAATCTTTATAATTAATCATTTAATTTAGGATATGGCTACGAATTATTAAATAATTTTTGCTATAAATACAAAAATGTTTCTCTACGTTAGTGGCACAATTTTGTAGTTAAAGCAGCACTATGTAACTGTTGGCGCTCTAGCGGTTAATAAACAGAACTGCACACATCCTGCGGAAAAACATTCCAACCGGAGCTACTTCTCTAAGTTTATGTCTATGGCGATTCACGCAGGTATGTGTTACTCCGCAGCGGTGACGAC